CTCTCTCTCTCTCTCTCTCTCTCTCTCTCTCTCTCTCTCTCTCTCTCAATTTCTCTCTCTCTATCTCTCTCTCTGTAACTCTCTCTGTCCCTCTCTTCCCTTCTTCTCTCTCTCTCTCTCTTTCTCTCTCTCGATCACACACTCAACATTAATGTTGCCATATGAGTTATTCCTTAAAGGAGTTCGCTACTTGTATGACACATTTTAGCTTGAAAAAGAAAAAGAAAACACAGAAATACATTTTGATGCTTAGGCCCGGCGCTTTGCAAGGTTTGCACTACACTGGTGGAAATCCTGAAATACTTCTTATTGATTTGCAATATTCCCTACAATTGACCGTTGACCTATACATAATACCATTTACAGACAGCAGAAGCTTGTATGATGCGAGTCTACTCAATGGGCGTTGGACCCGCATTCGTCCCTGTCTTATATTAATGGATAGATAGATATCTATCTATCTATCTATCTATCGATCTATCTGTTAATATAAGACAGCTGTCACCCGGCTTCTACTGTTAGCAGAGACTCAAGTCTCAAGTCCTGTAAACTTTACTGATAAACCATAGATTGCACCAAATAATTACCAGATTTAGTTTCAGTTTCACCTCTGTTTGTCCTTTTGCACGCTTGCTGTTTCTTGAAACAATGTCCAACCATTGTCGAGAGGAGGTCTGCTGACTCATATTGACCCATTCAACGGATCAATATGTCAGTTTTGATTGGGTATAAGTGTCATAGGAAAGGGTCTCAATAACATATTCAATCAAACCTGATGACACCACACTGTGTTTCAGACATGTAATGCAAGTCTGAAGCACACGGGTCAGAGCAGCACTGTATCAAAATGAACATGTCAATTGGAAATCTGGTGGCAACAATCCAATAATAAAATAATTAACACTTTGGCAAGTTCATGTATTGTCTGAGCAATATTTGAATAAACCAATGTCAGCAGTGTACTGCACAGACGTCTAAAGGGGCAGTGCCTTAATGAAAGCATATTTTAGGTCTATAAAGGAAACTCAGAGATGATAGCTTGTGTGATAATAACTTTCATTCTGTATGCTCACCTTTCATTCCATATTCTCAAGGGTCATCAAAATTAGTTGCATTTCTATTCTACATTATTGTCTTGTTCCACATTACTCTTTTTTTATCACAATATTGATGATGATTATAAGGGATTGTTCAACAGTTTAGGAAATATGCTCCCCCATCAATCTCCTTATTCTTGGAAAGAAAACAAATAAGTATATTTCCCAAAATAATGAACCATTCCTTCAAGGTTAACTTTCAATCGGAACAGATGGTCCACCAGAAGCAGATGTGTATCTAGTTTTGGTGTTGATTAAAACATGTTTAACATGTGTTTTCCTTATACAGATGAAATTCACAGATGCAATGCGCTCCAAAGCTCGTCTATCCATCACAGGATCGACCGGTGAGAATGGTCGTGTCCCGGTGGCTTACCTCCGTCCAGGATTACCCATGAGCCTCAGCATGACTGATCTGTCCTGACCACACCCGAGCCAGTGCCTTACAGCCAATCAACACACACTCTCCCTTCCCCTCTGAAAGTGAGTGGAAATGCTTGTCATCTCCTTCGGTGACCAATTACCACTCACCGTTGGTGATCTGCCCTGATTTTCAATCCGGAGTTTAGCCAATCATATCTCTTTGAGGACTTCTGATCTGCTCTTTAACATCTAGCCTAAAAACACTGGACAGATGTTGTCCTCTTACCACTTGGCTGTCAGGCTTTAGCAAAGACCTGCCCACCAACGAAGTGAATCACTTGACCATCAATGAGAAAGATGGCCTGTCATTTACAAATTCATGAAAAACAATCAAGCACAGTGGACAGTTTTCTAAAAAAAACACACATTGTTTTGTAGATTTTTGCCATGGAGGCTATAGAAACTAAGGACAACAGTGATGCTGACGTTAACGCAATAACATTAATCAGGGATGTGATCAGGAATTGTGGGTCTAAAAGCAGAATCTTGTTTAAATGAGTTCAAGTGCTATGAAAAAAATCTGATGTCCTGAAAAAAATGCATCCATGACAAAATAGTAATTGTGATAGCAAATAATGATAATGATGTTATTGATCTTAATTGTTTTCCTTATTTCTGCCTGAATATCCCTAATTAGTAGAGACCCAAGAGATGCATGGACTGACACGCACACACATACACACACAAACACACCGGTATGAATACATACACTATACACAGGGATGGGAAAACATTAATCAAGATGTATGTTGGTACAAAATATGTTATACAATTGAAGCCCCTTTGTGTAGGATCTGAGCATTTCTGACTTTGGTAACACCTAGTGGTAGCATCAAAGAACACCAAATAAATGCAAACTAGGGACGCTGAGAATAACTGGTTTGAGAGCAACATGTAGACTGCACCGGTTTTCAAACTGATTGACTCATTATTCTACATAAAACGTAAGCCATCACAATAGTTAGAAAGAGTCTATGAACACAAAAATCATGGATTAAGTGATCAAACAAAAGCCAAAAAGCATTAACTTCACAAGTATTCATACACAAACATACTACTACATTTGATAAATTAGCATTTGGTTATTGGTGTTGCTACGTGTTTAGCAGTATCCTATTAATACATTTTGTAGTGTCTTTAACAGCTTTTAATCACCAGTTCACATGTTGCTCCTGTTTATGGGTAATAGCTTAACACAACTCTTCTTCTAAAATGGTATTATAGCCATTAAAGGTCATTCAAAGTTACTCTATAACTACTTTTTAATGTCCATTGTTAACAACAGCATTACATTTATTGCATTTGTTTCGTAACATATTTTATAGAAAGCACTCAGTCATCAGACTGGAGATTGACAGGGACGTAGCAATATCTAAATTGGGTCGAATATAAGAGAAACAAACTCAGAGCTCAAATTAAATAAATGCTTGTGTTTAATTACGCTGCATTTGTCTGAGGTTGAGTTCAGCTACCCAACATGTGTATCTGGTTTCAGGTCGGTTTCAAACCGTTTTGTTATGTAAAGCTTCTGGCCAGGTGCAGGTTTTTTTCAAAAATATAATGAAAATGTATCCGTTACATATTCATTTGGGCTTCGCAACTGTATTTCATCATCTGGCACTTGCACCCTGAAAATTGACGTTTCAAGTTTTCTCTTTTATTAAATCTAAATTTCAAATATCATCTTGCAATAGAATAGCTGACTTTATTCAAACCAATACCCCCATTACTGTTGATCGCCGCTTTCTCTGGGATGCTATTAAAGGATCTGTGAACAAATCTATATTATTCTCATCCCATTTAAATAAAACCCCAGAAATCCAGACCTTTGAGTCCCAGTTAGCTTCAGTAAAACTTCAACCGTATGTGGAAATCACTTGTTATTTTTAAATAACAAGAGGATCATAATCAGAATTTCTTAGTGAGAGATCAACACACAATTTCTACCCAAATAGTGCACAACCAAGCCATTTTTAATCTCTCTAGATTAAGAAAACATCACTATGACATCATCATAGTCAGTTTCTCTCTCTATATATATGTGTGTATGTATATATATATATATATATATATATATATATATATTTATGTTTATATGAATATAATACTTAAAATACTTGTGAGACATCTTGCCCATCCCCGTCTATAGGTCAGTACACCCATACATACATAAACACTTACATATACAGTACATCAGTACACACTGACATACAGTGTCACACATGAGCCACACATTTTGCACGTGCACATGCACATAGTATTGTCATGTGAGTTCTGCAGCCAACTGGATGAAGTGCCAAACAGAATGAGAACCAATCAGAGCTCTCCATGCTCAGCCAATGGCAGCTGCTGATACTGAAACCTGAGCCAATAGGAGCTCTCACTGCTGTGAGGTGGACAAGAAACTGTGAACAAAGACCTTCCTTTTAATAAATATACTGCACTGATGATGGCAACGGAGACGAGGAGGACGAAGAGAACGTTTGCATGTCACTTTGAGTTTTTTCTTTCAAATGAACTTGTCAGCCTGAAGCTTTGTGCCTGGCTGCATTTTAGTGTTTAATAATGATAGTAATAAGAATAATATTAACAATATTAATTGCAGTAATAATGTGGTTCTTGTTATGTATAGTGTATGTTTTTTAAGAACTCAAATCTGCTACTTTCTTTCACCACGGAGCTGTTATTTGTGCTGTTAGTTAGAAGCAAGCCGGTTAGCTTAAAAGCTTCTCCCACAACATGACCAATGCCCAAGACGTGATCAACGTCTGGTTTAAGTTAAGCAGAACATGTTGTGGGATCTATTTCCTTTTCTTCTCATGGACTCGTATCATTTTTGCAATGACCACATGTTGTAATTATCAGAGGTATTTTGATGGTGTTATAATCACGTGATAAGGGATGGCTCCCAAACATGTCAACCACTGAGAGAAATGTGGGAATCATCACCTTCACTTACAACTTTGCTTCTGGGATAATTTCATTTTCTATTAAACTCATCAATTTTGACCAACATCTTGTTAGTTGCTTTTCAACAGAGCAAATTAAGTATTGGATTAATGGACACCCACATTTTTTTTTACAAATATGAACACATAGTTTCTGTGTGATTTCACCTTTTTCAGTATTAAACATGCTTGGGTGGTGAATTTGACAGGGGAGATCGCTGTTCATTTTATCTTTCCTTGCACCTTGCATATCCTAAAATTCACGAGCAGTTTTTGTGCCTAAACGTAACCAAACCTTTTACCAGTCTCGCACCAAATGCACAAGTGCAAATAGTTTGCGAAAGGCAGTGCATAGAAGGGCAGCATAGGAGTACCAAGCAGTTAACCTGGAAGCTACTCCATCCTACATCAGAATGTTAACAATTGCAAGACACATTTTCTCACCTGGTATCCCCTCTCTGATCATTTCTGCCATGCTTCAGATTTTATACCTATCATATATATATATATATATATATATATATATATATATATACGCACTGAACTTTTCATCCATTCTTCTCTACTGTAAAATATTTGCTGACATAACTTATAAAGCCTTCAGTCAATGCCACACTCCCCATTAGATGCACTTCGTGATGGTCTGTCTTTGGGGAGACATCTCTGTGTGGATGAGTTAATGGACAGATCTGTGGTGCATCTGACTCTTATGTAGGAGACTGGCATTCACATCCTGATGAACACCATCAATTAAAGCTCCGCTGTGGAGTTTTTGTAAACTAATAAAGTTTCTGTTAATCTTCAGTGTCACTCACCAAAAGTATTGTGTGTATCCTTGGGGTCTAACAAATATGTTGAATGTATCTCCGTCATGAAGCAGTTAAAAATCAAATTTTTGGAATATTTTAAATCCTGCATTATTTACTTGCTAGAAGTCTTCTCCTTCCCTGTTGTTGCATTTCTGCATTCTTTGTCATGTGACAGATTCCTGTAGATCAGTGCAATGGTGTTTGGCAGGAATGACCCACATGCTTGTGTGCATGCATGTGAGGAACAAATCGTAAAAATTGCTCCATAGCACAATAGTGCTCTTTTCCTAATCTTAATAAATTGCCTAACTTTAACAATAGTGTAAAGGATAAATGTGGAGTTACTCTATATTTGTCTTATTGTCAACAAATTCCCCGATATGGAGCAAAACCAACAACGTTTTGGTGCATCTTTCAACACCCTCTGACTTCCCTAACCTGTTGGATTCTCTCAGCTCCGCGCCCATTGCTTCCAACTGAAGGAACCTTTGAAAATGGTGCACAATATTACAGTGCTTTAAAGAGGCTCAGTCATTTACAAACATAGCTGGTTACTGTCATTTTTAGTCCCTCAAATGGGAACATTTGTTGGGGACTATTTTCAGCAGCGTATTAATACACATTTGGTGCTCTAGTGAATATTTGGAGCAGCAAGACTGTGTATGTGGGATTTAAATAAACTACAGTGTGTTCATGATAATGAAGGAATATGTCTCCCAGTGCAACAGTGTGGCTCACTGATATGTTGTGGATCATTTAAACAACAATTACAGTTACAACAGTTCTAGGACACAAAAGATATATCGGGCACAATAGTTGTTAGTATGATCAATTCATTCAGTTTGTCTGCACACGGAATTTGTGGACAAGATGAAAAATATATAGAATATCTTCGGACTGATACTTTAACCAGTGGTCTATGCATTTAGGCCAACTGGTTATAATGTGATGGCAAATTGTCAATTTTGAGATTAATACCTTTATTTAAGTTTTTGAAAAGCTTTCATGGAAACAATATACTTAGCCTACAACCGCTATGACATCTTAAGAATCGGCAATACATGCAATCACCTTGTGTTTGACTGAGAGCGGATAACAGCGGAGATCGTCGGAATCAATGTGGGCCACTATCTCAGGAGGAAGACACCGGCGCTGTTGGAGAGAACAGAAGCAGAGAAAGCGAGCAGGCCTAAAGAACCTCTTGATTGTGTCAGCATGCGCAGTTTGTAAGACAGCAGTCGCGTATCAATTCAACTGTCAAGTTAATGTTAAGATAACTTTTGAAATGTGGATTCGATGTGTTTACATAAAGTGGTTTGGAGCAAATAAATTAGGAAACTGTTTGGAAAAAGATAGGCATTTTCAAAAATTCTCTCTGGTTCTGATGTAACTGATGCCATTGAAGCATCTATGCTAACCTCTTTAGGAGCCGCCATTGTTGTTTAGAACAAACAGTCGCCTCTCTGTACGAAGTCAAATAAATGTCTGTAAAATAAAACTCAAAACTTGAATTGGCTGACGAGCTAAAAGTTACCTCACGGGCTTCTCAATTTAAACCTTATCCCTGTGTGGTGGGTAATGCTCCTCTAAAGTTAGTCAATACAGCACCATGTGTAGTGTTGGTGAACACAGCCACAGACCTGGCTCCTCCCCCCACCAATTCTCTATTTAGAGCCAGATTATATAAGGCACCTGTTGGCCCCTGTCCTCTGTCGTGACTGTAGGTCAAATTGAAGTAGCTAAAGTGACCACTTAACATATCAGGCTTTTCACACTGCATACTTAGTTTACTGCCTTCTGTTCTTGATGTGTTGGCTGTGCATATTGTGTTGGAACCCCATTGTTGTCCTGCCTACCTTTTTGATCCCATGTGTAATTTAAGGTTGAGAATGAAGTCACAGAGTAAAATTGTATCTTTTCAGCCTGCAGCATGGTTTATTAATTAATATGTTTCCCTTTTGTATAGGTTCACCTAATGGTTCCCTTTTTCTTCAGTGAAGCAGAGCAAATTGTTGAGAGGCCAGTCACCTGTGGTGAGGTCCCGACACCATTGCATTTTAAAGCACTGGGACATGAATGTCGGCTGCAGCGATGTTGCTTTCAGGATTGCTGTGCTGCACAGAAGGTGAGTGAATGGGCTCTCGGTGTAGTCTGGCCCCACCACCACCGGCCAAAGCCAGCTAAGTTTCTTGAGACCACATTTTTTGGGGTGTAATTCCCCAGGTGGCGTTGTTCGTTTATTTCCTTCTCCCCTTATTGCCATCGCCACAACTGGATTTCTAGGTCTGCAGGATGGGCTTTGCACATTTCCATGGTAGTTGGTCCCCACTCGCCACCATACATTGTTGAAAGTAATTCCACATAAAGTCATAACCCTTATGGACACCTGTTGTTTGGCCAGCAAGAAGAGCTGCTCCTTTATCATATTGGCTTTCATTGGTGAGTATTTCATATTTGAGTTGTGCTAAATATTATTCAGAAATCCACCTCAAAATCATATTACCATTCCCTGAATTGAATAGGTTGTCTTCATTATCAGCTACTTCTCCACTAAGAAATGTTGATCCAAGTTGAGTAAAATGAAAAGTGCCTCACTGTTAATAAGTCTTGAATTTACAAGCGAACTTGTAAATTCCGATGAAAAATATTCTTATGGTAGTCAGACAATGTTAAAGTGTGTGTGTTTTAATTAAGCATTTAACTCAGAGGTCAGTAACCTCTGTCATGGTCCTATCAGACTTATCAAAAATGTTGGTGTGATGTATTAGTGGTCAGTCATTTACAAATTCAATTGAAACCTTTTATTTCAGACTTCACTCATTAAAACATTTATTTCAGCAAGTATTAATATATTCCATTTATTAGTGACTTACATTTTTTATCCTCCATGGTATCACAGACTAATACTACACATTGTAATATACACAATATACAAAACAGTCATTCATATTGAACTGTTTTAATTGTTAGTTTCAGGTAATTGACCACTTGACAAGTATCGCTCTGATGGACAGCAGTCAAGCTGTGAATCTGTCTCACCACAGTCCACACAACGGTCTCCAGCTGTGAAATGAACTGCAATCTTTGTTAAGACCACTACATTCATACAGAGCCCTGTGCACATTCGTTAGTGTTTTTTTTTTTTTTTTTTTAAATCACACTTGCAGTAGGTTGGACATGAAACACTGCAGGATATATGATTTAAAGACCTTGCTGTCAACAGTTGAAACTGGAATGGACAATGATACTCAGCCCAGTGAGGTCTGACATGCATGTATGTTTTTCAATGCTGTGAGTAACTCAAGCAGACTTCAGATCACTGATAAATTGTGGCGGCGGCTGTTGACAGCAGACAGCTAGGCGGATACATTTCTTTCTACATGATTAGGGTAAAGCCTAGAAGCATGTTTTTTTTTTAATTGGACAAACCAATCGGCCATACTTGATACTACCACCAGATGGAGCCAAAGTAAGACATATATAGCCTTTAATCTTAAGAGAATTATACAATAACTCAACTACTAATTATTCATACCTCAACTAATAATAATTCATACATATCCTTTACCACATTTAAGTTTCATAACATGCTCATTATATTCTTTTTAATTGAAAATAAACTTTGAATTAAAGCAAAGTCATATTCCTCCGGTTTGACTCTGATCACAGCGGACGGGTCTTTGTTCCTCTGTGATGCTGAGAGTTGTTTCACTGAGTCAATAGGATCTCGATGACTGACTTTGGAGCGTCAGGTTCTCTCTGTGACCGGACCTCCAGATTCCTAAATATCAAAATGTTGGCCTTGATGTCTTCCCTAAAGTAATCACAGTTTCTTTGAGTGATCAATATTAGTCTCACGTTCTGCTAACAAATGTTAACATGAGCTGTGTGACGATTAGCAAGCTAGTGTTAAACTTAAACACAGAAAATGGTAACAAAATATTAAAATAAAAAGCTTTTCACAAAGCTCAAACAAGATAACATGATTCAACTCACTTTGTAACAGTGTCTTTCACTATGTCTTTGATAAAGTCATAATTTTTTTTTAGGTTTCTTAAAAAGCTCACTTTTTTATTTCACAGCTCTTTGGGATGAATTTCTTGTAGGAAAGATGCCACACACATAAAGCGTGTTTGTCCAGCTCCTTTCGATCAGTCAGAGAAGAGGTTTAATTATAGGTCTGGTGATATATTCTATATTACTAGAAGAAAAATCCCACGAAAAGACCAAAACCAACAATTAATGTGTCCTTCTAACAAGTGGTGTGTATGTCCGTCCGTCCGTCCAAAGCCTGGTATCTTATTCCTCTGTGCGATAAAGCTCCGGTTGTCTAAAAACTATTACGAACACAAACAAAGCCCCACTGTTGCACTTGACACGTCCCCTAACTACCATGAACACACTAGTTTATTTTGTTGTTTTTTGTTGGCTGTCGTTTGCTGGTTCTGTTGGTGAGCAACTCAGTTGTGCTTCTTTGTTACACACAGTCGAACTCTTATCTATTCTCTCGTCTAAATAGTCGTCATCTATTGCAATACAGCGGTGTTTCTTCAAGGACTGGGATCGAGTGAACAGTCTCTTGCACTGTGAACACCAGTATGGTTTCTCTCCGGTGTGCACGCGCAAGTGTCGGCTGTAACTATACGAGCTATTGAAAGACTTCCCGCACTGGTCACAGCTGTAAGGTTGCTCTCCAGTGTGAATACGGAGGTGACGCATGTAGTTACTTAGACGACCAAAACCTTTCCCACATTCTTTACACTTGTATGGCTTCTCTCCAGTGTGCGTGCGCACATGTTGTTTATACGTTTTTGAAATGGAGAAGCTTTTCTCGCACAGTTCACAGCGGAATGGTTTTTCTCCGGTGTGGATACGCAAATGTGATTTGTAGTTGCCCAACTGAGAGAAACTCCTCCCACACTGGTTACAGCAGTATGGTTTCTCTCCTGAGTGAACACGCAGGTGTATCTTGTAACTACTAAGGTCACTGAAACTCTTTTCACATTGGTCACACTCGTAGGGTTTCTCTCCAGTGTGGTTACGCAGGTGCAGACTGAAATGCCCCGACTGCGTGAAACTCTTTCCACAGAAGTCACACTGGTACGGCTTCTCTCCGCTGTGGCTGAGCTGGTGTCGCTTGTATGAACTTAAAAAACTAAAACTTTTTGGACACTGGTCACAGCAGTATGGCTTTTCTTTAGTGTGGACACGCATGTGTATCTTGTAAATACTGAAGTAACTAAACGTCTTTTCACATTGGTCACACTGGTATGGTCCAGTGTGGTCGCGCAGGTGTTTTCTATATGAACTGTGGTCGCTGAAATGCCTCTCGCACTGTTCACAGCAGTATGTTGCTTCTTCAGTGTGCGTCTGCAAGTGTGTATTGTAGGCATTAAGTTGGCTGAAACTGCTACCACATTGTTCACAGTCGTACAGTGTCTCCGCAGTGTGAGTGAGTTCATGTCTCCTTAGACTGCAAATCCGACTGAAAGATTTCCCACACTTGTGACACTGATGGGGTCTGCTGCTGCCTGTGTCCGTCTGTTTCACCTGAGAAAAAAAAAAGAGAAATAAAAGTCAGAGCGGAGGACTTGATAAAATACTACGTACTATTGGAGTCACATGAACGATGGATTGTAAGTTGTCAGATAAATACCGTATTTCACTGATTGGCGAGAGAACCGTGCCTTTATTAAAAGACATGTTTCTTCATGTCCTAAATTAGATGGCAGAGGAGGCGAGGCAGGTGATCAGAGAAGGGAGATGAAGATGTAAAGGGGCTTCTTTTTTTATTTTAAATGCTTGCATATGTTTGTGATATAATTTGTTGATTAGAGTAGAAATCCATTTAGTAAATCACTTAAACTTGTTTAGCTGCTCTTTCTTTTTCCGTCGGCTGACCCTCTTGTCGGATCTTAATCCTTTCTTACTGGCAACGCTCAGCATTGATGAATAGTGCTTGATGCTCTTCTCTGACATGTTTGTTGTGGTCACTTTCCTTCTTGGTCTTTTTATGCTGGCTGGAAAACAATGAAGTAATGCAATACCACCGCCCACTGCTATGGTGTGTGTCTTTGCTTTTTTCCTCATAACATTTGTTTAGACCTTGTTTGAGGAGTTGTTGTTGTTAAAAGAGAAACTCAGCAGCAGATGTGCAAGTAGGAAGTGACTGTTATTTCCTACTTACTCTGTCTGCATTGTGCAAATCAGTGATAGATATCATAACTTTATACTACAACACTCCTGCTTGTCTCATCATGTAGAAATGTTACATGATGAGACAAGATGCAACAGACCTGCAGTTTGCTGCTGACAGAGTGGCTGAAGACACCACTAGACTAAGCTTTACTTAAGAAAAAGAAAAGAATATGTTTGCTTGGGAAGCTTCCTACACCACTGAACCAGTAGGAAGTGTTTAGTTTTGTTAACAGTTTCTCAACACTGAAAGAATGGAAGAGTATAAATATTGCATGTCTCTGTTAAATAGAGAAACTGAGAGCAGCAGAGTATGACATGAATGTTGTTATGCTGATTTAATTGGTGCAGCGGCATGATGGCAGACGTGGCAGCTGGGCTTTAGTCTGTGGTGATGACTAAATACTGGATCATGTTCATTTCTATTTGATCTCACCTCTTCTGAAGAACTCATTTCACCGGCTTATTGGTGAAAGTCAATGTCCTCCCAATGCTTTTCCTCCTGTCGGCACGTTCCAGTTCTGAAATCATTAAAAAAAAGACGGACTGGTCAGAGCAGGAACACCCACTACAACAGCAAGAACAGCTAGTGGGGCTGTACCAATTCTATCGCAGACTGATGGGTATCGGCTATATTGAGCCCAATCCAATCCTTCGTTTTACGTCAACTGTTGCATAAGTGTTTTTACTCGCAAAACTTTTATAAACGTCAACCATGGAGTGCAGCAGTGGTCTACTCTTTAACTCTCTGCTGCGAGTCTCACCTCCACTTCCCTGTGCTCCATGTATACGAGCCGGGGCGAAACACCACACGCCACTGACAACAGCAAAATGATGAGGCTGTTTATTTGTTATTCACCCAATTTATGTGCACTCATTTCCACTGCAAAAAAAAACAAAAACAAGGACACTTTTGAAAAGGGAGAGACGGTGACGAGGCCAAACAAACTACAGAGAGGATTATTTATTTTGTAAAAGAAAACAAAAAAATACTGAGGAACTGCTTGGATGCAACGTTTTTCTTAATGCAATGCAGAGCTATTCAATGGTCATGCATGTACATTGGAGTGATTTTGATAGCTTTAATGTACTTGAAGTGTGAACTGAGCAGCTGTATTGGAGTATCGGATTGGTACTCGGTATCGGCAGATACTCTATATTAAATGACTTGAATCGGAGGGTATAGTTTTTTTGAGGCTCAAGCATCAAACCATGCACTTCAAGGTCCCTGGTTGGAGTCCAGCCAGGGACCCTTTGTTGTAGATTGTTCCCCGTCTCTCTCTACTCATTTCCTTAACTTTCTCTACAATCAGCTGTCCAATAGAGGCAATAAATGCCTAATAAAATAATGATTTCATACATGTATACATTCTTCATGATGTGTGTTGAGGTGGCCTGCTTTAACTAGAAAACACTGCTAAATAAATCCCTGAGTTACTCGCATTAAATGTACCAATGTTGGGCAGAGCCAACAGCTCAATATTGTTTTCATTTATGCAGAAGCGGCATAAATACATGACCAGATGTGCACTAAACACAATGAAATGACGGCCAACAAGATGCACTCTAGACTGAATCAAGTGGTGGAAGATGATATATTTTAGCTAAAGTGATACAAATATACTGTCATTCCTCACATAAGCCCGATCCCGTTTGTCATACTAAGGACTGAATCGATTCGTTTTTTTCTGCATCACATTGTGTCTGGATTATGTGAATGGGGCTCTCTGATTAAAATGCAAAGAGGCGAGAAAATGCAGCGTGATTTCCTACAGTGCAGCTGGAAGTTGCCATAGTAGAGCCATACCTGCTTATTCAGATCTCGAATGCAATCCAAAGTGTTCTTGGTGATGATTATATGGCTCGGTAATTAATCAGTAATCAATAATAAATATAACAATCGGGGGGGAAAGGGAGCCAACTGGAACCAGGAAGAGAATCGTGTGTTGCGAGATGAATCTGCGAAAAGAAAGCAGATAATGCAAACATAAATATGATGTCAAAGTAGGGATGTTAGCTTCGTTTAATGTTGAGGCTGAGACAGTTATGCATATCCTTATATCATACGGGAAATTTACGTTACACCGGAAAGGCAAGAAATGACAACTACGGAAAATAAGGCAAGTAGAGGACGACGGTAAAAGTACATTAGAGTGAGGAGACAGTGCTCGAGGGAGGAAGAGGTTATTTCGTATTTTAAGGAAGGATGGACTTTTAAAAAGAATGGATACTGAGGGAGAATAAAACCTGAAGGTGGCGGTAATGCTATATTTTGGATGCTGAGTGCCATAAGAAAAGAAAAAGAAGCACTGTGGCAGAAAGACGGTGAGAGCACAGCAGATTGCTCGGAGAAGATTACATGTTTTATTGCCACAACTTTTAACATTTAGCTAATCTGATATTTGAAAGACATAACATTTTGTATAAGATTAACAGGCATGGTGTCAAGGTCAGAATCATTGTTCAAAAGGTCAAATGCATAGGCATTGTGTATTTCCTTAAAAACTCATCTCTGTCCAACCACATGACATATTTAGACTTGGGCGCATGAAAAACTAAATATGGCTTCTATGAAACCACTTAGTATTGTATGTTTGTATGTAGAATTCTAGTCTAGTGGTCCACAGTCTTAATATCAGTAGACAGTCTTACTTAATCTGGTCCAAAGTAGGGCTGCACTGAATCGACTAACCAAACAAATAGTTTTTTGATTATTTGATTATACATTTTTAAGATTTTTTTTTTTAATTCCCCAAAATAAATATCAAAACTTGTCATTCATTTTTCAATATTTTATTCCGTCATCTTAAAAAAAATAAAATACTGAACCTCAAATTCAAAAGGATGCTGTGACATAGATTAATTTAATCATTGCATTTCATAGCTACCACTACTAATGCTGATGCACATTATGCAAAGCAACATATTTTTGTAATCCGTTACAGTGACTAATCACCACAGCTCTAGTCCAAAGTCTTAATAAACTCAACATAAATTATACACAGAACTATAAAGGAAATATAAAGGCAAGAGTTCATTCAATAGTTTCATCAGGCAGGGCCCATGTGCGGCTGCATCAGTTGTCCATTTCACTTTACACCAAAGCAATACATCTTTAAATCTAAATGGTGGGTTACCAAAAAAAAGGTGAACAACTTCATGCTCCTCAGTGGATGAATCCTCTCAATGTTGATGATCTATGACCTTTCCTCAAGCACCATCCTCAGACCAACATGTATAATCTCTACTCTGACTAGACTGCCAGTGGAACAGCAGCACTGTAACTCTCCACCCTCTTCAACATGACACACAAGAGGTTGTGTCATATGTAGATGGCATGTTCAGAGGCGGGTGGGGCATGGTACGCCCTAGTTTTACAGCCAGCATTTTCTAACCCAAATACTGCATTCAATAATCGAAACTTAAATATGTTTTTGTTTTTCAGAACTCACAAAATGCCACGATGACCAGGATAAGTGTGAAGGGGAAATGTAAAAAGCTGCCACTTTCCCATGCTCTGCTTTGACAGATCATCTGTGGTATGTTTCGATAAAAACGTACATTTATAATTGGAGCAGGAGGAAAACTCCTAAGCACATTTGAGATTGTTTTGTGTGTGAGATAATTCCGGCTGTCCTTAACCAAATGAGCAGGTAGCCACAACTTTGTTTGTCACCTTTTTCAGCCATGATGAGTTTGTTACATAGCAACAAAAACATTTTTTTCTAACTTTACAAATCAAGAGTTAGCAAACTTTGCATTTCTTAAGACACAGTCTGATTTTACTTGAACAACTTTGACTCAGCTTTGGAAAATTGTTTGCAACAAAACAGGATGTTCCGCACTTGCAAAGAAATCGCCTGCATTTTTGTCAATGATCTAACCTGGGGTTTGTCATCAGCGCACACAAAAGCAATGGGAGACCATGGTGCACCAGGAGAGGATGGATAGTAGCAGCAAGTAATACAGAAATCTGGCAAGCAGTAGCTGCCATACTGCAGCTTCTCTTCTCAGGCTGTAGGACTCATCCTCCATCTCATTCATATATATATATATATATATATATATATATATATATATATATCAGCAGAAATGGGACTGGGGACTTAATTTTGTTGCGCAACCCTGCGTTGTACATTGACAATAAATTAACCTCACCCTTCAAGGCCCACGCAGAGTTTACCTTTATTGTTAGTTTTACTGTTGCCCAAACAGATCCTCTTTCTCTCTCTGACTGTCTGGTAAATAACGTATTTACATCTGTAGAAGATACACTGTGACAGCTGCTTTCCACATATTTATGCACGAAGGAGATGCCATAATCGTTTTTTTCGGAGTCTGTTTATAGTCGAGCTTTAACAGTTATTTAAGTTTTTATTTTTGTGCGTAAATTGCATATGAATAGTATTTCCAGTTATCAACAGCACGTGCTAATGTAATCAAAACGTAAACAACTGCATTGAACGCATCGTAACGTTACATCATTCATTTAAACATGTGACACACGTCCAACTATGTCGATCACGTTAACACGAGATCGACAAAGAAAACTCAACGCTAACGGGCTATGTCCGAGGTTTATACCAACAAACAACAACCAAGCATACGGGGCTAGTTTAGCACAGCAGCGGCCTAGCATTGCGCATCCAAGATAACGCAAAATAATATGCGCGGAGCAGGAAGCAAGTCGCTACATTGAATCCAGTGTGCGATCACTAATCATTGACAGACCCAAACATACCAAGAAAACAGTGCAACATGTACCTTTCGCTCTCCCACAGTCTCTCTCCTGCTACCTTTGATGATGCCACGCAAATATCACCATCTTGGATACTCTTCTTCGTTGGTGTTTTACGATAGCCGGCATTCACTGCTGCCATCTTCTGGAACTTGTCTGTTACTGTGCCACTTCTCGATCATTTTCACTAACTTTATTCATTTCATTTACCTCCACACTCTGGAATGCTTGTTAATGCTCTTTATGTTGTTCCCATTTTCCTAATTTTAGTTAACATCACTTCTCTTTCGTGTTTGTTGATGGCCGGCAGAGCAGCTTAGAGGTGCATCACCGCCATTTAGTGGACTGATTAAAAGCGTGGAGAAGAAAGCCACCAGCAGCGGTAAGATCACCAAGTCCGCGCAGGTCAAATGAATGTTGTTTCGGGCTCACCGTGGCCGTAGACACACAAGCACCCTGCACCTTCTGCACACAATAGTCAGCATGTGGTCTGTTATCAGAATGCATCGCAAAAGCAGGAGGAGGAAAAAAATAACTACCAAACCGTTAGTGATTAACACTTTACTAGTTATATATGTTGTCTCACTCACTTTGTGGCAGAATATAACATATTTTCATTACATCTCTCTGGTTGTGTGCTGTTGTAGTTGAAGTTAGGCTGCTCGTTGATCAGTGCTAAGCACCAGTTATAAGGCATAGATGTTCTTCTGCCAGTGAAGTAATGCTCTGCGTTCTAGCTTTTAAAGAGATATGCCTACTAGCCAGAGTTAGATTGGCTTCTTGCATATTCTTAAAGAAACAAGCTTCAGAAACTGTCTGATACCTGGCATCTTAATGTCCCTTGCAGTAGCTCTGTTGCAGTTTATCTCATGCACTTTAACCACTGTTATTTGTAAGCACTTGTTCATAAAAGTAAAGATGTTTAAACAGAATGTCTTTGTCGCTGGTATCATTGGTAAGCCTGTGGAACCTCACTCTTTCAGTGAATGATGAGAAAGCAAACGACAAACTCCTCATAGAATTTCCTTTATTGATGAATGAGACTCAAAGTTCACTTGCATTTCCATTACATTACAGGCTTCATAAATCCAACTGAGATTATTATGAGTGTGTAAATATGTGCACATAATTTAAATAAATTAAAAGACATGAGACAGAATGTTAACATGTTTTATGTCCTGTAGCAAAATGATCTTGGAATAACAAAAAAAATGACAACGTAAAATTCCTTAAGTCAGTAACATTTACAAAGAGAGAAAATGAAGACAACCGTTTCTGTTCAGAGGAACCTAATGCACTTTTCTGGAAATTGTAGATATGGAGATGAATATGTACCACAAAAGCAAGGCACCGATATATTATACTGCATGTACTGCACATTTTGAGGTCCTTTTACTTCTGATGCAATCAAGTTGAACCATACATAGTGATTTGTCTTAATGACACGGCATTCGTTCTCAGTTATAGATTTGTATACGACAACCTCTTCATGCAAAATGAATGTAAATATCTGAAAGAAAGTAAAATCCACAAAGCAAACTGACCCCAAGCCTCCTTCACATATACTCCGTTTCTGGATATGGGTCTTTGTTGAGGTACTGCTAGCTAAAGTTGATTATTGACCACTGAGGCTTTGGATGCTTTATTGGTAGTATTTACCTGCCACTTGTGGTGCTATAATTATTCACCTGATTCTGTACCATGCAACAGGAATACATTCTGCAGCAAATACACTTCAAGAAAGCAAAAATAATCCCACATTATGAATAATCCCACAGTGTGAAAAAAGCAAACATTGACCATGAATTAAATAATATATCTTCATTTCATGTAAAAACAGGGTGGCAAAAAGCCAAATGCAATACACAGTTAACATTTCTTTCAGTGTATCCGTTTCTGAACCAAAACAAAGTGCTTTGCTTATATTCTGACAAAACATCAAACTGATATTACGAACCAAGAAATGACATTCAAGATGTGTTTCAATCCATGGCTGTCATCAGCTGGAAAACCAACTGGCTGGTGCATAATTGATAAGAGAATAAGCAACAACTGCTCCTGGTTTCTCTGAACTGTACCCAAGACAGTGATGGGCGGTGTGACCAAAAACCTGTATCACAGTATTTTTTAAGATTCTGGTAGTATCACTGGTTTTTTTTTGGCATGACTGGGCCTTTTTATAGGTGTATGCAGGCTTGTTCTACAGTCGGGAGTAAATAGAATATATAAAAAATGTATATACTGAAGGCTTTAATTATCATAGAATTTGCTTGGCCCCACAAAATTATACAATATATGAAGAAATCAGAATGCATGAAACGGTTGCAGAATGTATACTATTCTTATTGTGCAAACTGCAACATTGTAAACACCAAAATGTTTTAAGATAGTTGGATAAACACCATAAACTGTTGTGGCGACTGTAGGTCGTGTGGTTGGTATAATGTTGGGATAACAGTTTGGCTGAAGTATTTGCCCCGACAAAACATACATCGAATCCAGTGTGATAATCATTGATCCCGTCTTTCTTCACTGTCTGTAGCAGGTTGATTGAAATAGTGTTCGTAATGTTCGCTCCACCGCTTGCTTTTCCTGTAGTGCTTCAGGCAACTGCCTTTTCAAGCGACGTCTGACCCTTTGGCTTCACTGGCCCTACTGAAAGCCTCAAATCGCACTCTTATTCTTTCAGCACGTTGTGTGCCGAGTTGACGGTTGTTGCTAACTACTGCACCACTGGCAACAACAGTGGCTCCGTCTGATTTCTTTGTATAACCAGTAAACAAACACAGCTCCTCCTCGCAGCTGTTAACAGTTATGCTACTAGCTAGCAGCATCACATCCACGGCTCTTCTCGTTTGGCGGTATATGAAAATATGATATTGTAAGGGAAATTCAAACCGGTATACCGCCCAGCACTAATACAAAGTTACAGTTGGCTGTGTGCGCATATAGCTGTATACATGTATGTGCTTTGAACATGGGGCACCTCATACTACAGCAGACAGTTGGCAGAAGTGACAGTGAAGCATCCAAATATTTGGCATTTACAGCAACACCAACAATTCTCTTTTCTGTCTGGTCTTTCCTGCTGTACTCCTCAGTAACAAGTTGTGGTTGTCCAAGAGTTTCAAAATAAGATACCCAACAATTCAGAGTATAACTAGAAAAAAATGAAAGGACCTGTCCTTCATCAGACAGGTGGATGTATTGTGTCTAATGTATTAGGTTTACAGACTTTTCAAACTGGCTTGTTTCAAGTAATTTATATAACATTGACTTTGTTTTTTGTATTTTAAACCACATAACCACACAATGATTCTTTTACTGCTAAAATGACCTGATGTTCACTGTGACAAATTACACAACTCGAGCAAATTTCAGGAGTCTCACTGATTTACTGTACAAACATTATTGCCAACCTGAAACTGTAGAAAGAATACTTCAAATGTAAAACTGTATTGCCCGTATTCAGAAATTGTCAGCAAAAATACAAGAGCTGTAGTATACAAGCTAAATTTGCATGTACACTGGGTCGGTGTGTGTGGTATTTTTGAAAAGATTGTGGGCAACCAAAGTCATTGGTTGAGGATAGTAATTCATACGATTTGAGGATTAAAAAAAAATTCTAAAATAGACTGAATATTATAGAAATAGTGATAATAACCGAGAATCTAAAGTTTGGCAATGACAAGGTAACATTACCTTCAATATGGAAGCCTATCATGTGTTTGGAGAGGCAGGAATTGGATGTTGAACGGTCACATTTAGGAATGAAGTCCCATTTATTTCCATTACTTACAAAATATGTGAGTTGTGTTCTGAAAGTGTTTGATGTCCATGCCTTCCTACTTTAAGTATAAACTGTTTCTTGCTAATCTCAGTATCTTTGAATAAAAACATGCAATGCTGATGCTCCGTCTCAAGTTCACATATTAACCAACCGTCTTTCAGGAAGTTTAGTTGGCTTTGTCTAATAGCAAATTCTCAGGTTTTGGGGGCCTGTGTTCCCATTATACAAGTCCTCATCTTTTATCTCAGATTTGTAAATAACACTCTAAAACTAAGAGTAACTCATGCAATGATATGCCATATGATCCGCCTGTATGAAAATACTGTGATTCTTATCAAATGGATCGACATGAAAATAAACAAAAAAGTTCCCACTGTTATAATCCCCCCCTCCAAAAAGGACAAAAAACAGTCTCTGTCAGGTGAGATTTGCGTGCCTTCTGAACAAGTAGGCAAGTTTATTTTAGCCGCACGTGCGGCATGTCCAGCAAATCGGTGTTGCCAGCAGAAGGCGAGGATGTGTGACCGCTGGCCAGGCTACGGTTAGAGCCTTGGGACCCTGCCCCTACTCTGCTGTCAGTCTTCAGGAGCTCCGATGAGTAGGTGTGGGCCTCAGTAGTCCCCAGTGACAGGAAGTCAAATCCCTGCGCCTCTAGGTCCCTGTCGCTGATAAAGAGGTCCTCCTCACCCCATCCTCCTCCACCACTCCTTCCAATACCACCACCTCCCCCAGGGTCTTGGCTACAGCTGCGGAAGCCAATGGGGGAGTCGCTGCTTGTACTGGGGCTTGGTGATGAGCGGCTGTGACTGTGGTGGGCATCCTGGACAGTCCCTGGGGCTGACTGCATCAGGTCCTGCACTGACATCGACTTGCCCAAGCAGTCCATCTGGCTGGGACCAGAGCAGCAGCCCAGGGCTGGCGACACCAGGGGCTGCAGCTCCAGGCTCATATGTCTCCTCCAGGAGCCTTCTTCCTTAGTATTAAGCCTGCTGGTGCTCTGCAGCTTCTGGTCCAGTCTGCCAGGCCCCAACCCAAGGTCCTTCCCAAAACTGCTGTCCTCCATCTGCATTCCTAAACTTCCACAAAAGTCCTCCATGTAAGGGGACACCTCTGTGGAGGTCGCACATGGCAGGTTGCTTGGGCCCCCACTCCGGCTGGGAGGGGGTGGTGGAGGAAGTCTCGCCAGAAGAGGAAACCCTCCATCTCCAACTCCTCCACCCCGACCACTGACGATATTTGGGGTGAGGATGGGTGGAGAGCTCCCCACTGCCTCATCAGTGCCACTTTCAGGTGTGGTGGCCTGAGCCTGGGTATGACGATGGTGGAGATGATGAGCATGACGATGGTGGTGATGATGTTGAGGCAGCGGTGACGGGCTGAAAGAGGAGGATGCGAGGCCCGCGGATGACGAGGCATTGAGATTGAGGTTTAGCTCGTTGGGAGGCGCCAGGATAAGATGGAGACCTCTCTGGGAGAGGTGGGAGTTGCTACCAGGGGGGAGTGCTCCGCTGCTGCTGGCCTGGGTGGAGCTGGACAGGTCCTTGCCGAAGACAGAGGAGTGGTAGTCAGAGGTTTGCTCCAACTCAAACAGGGGCAGAGAGGAGAGTGTGAGGGCTGAAGACGATCCTTTGCGCAAAGCCTGACGATAGATGTCGAGCAGGGAGTCGAGCTTTGACTCAATCGACTGGACCTGTGAGGAGAGAAAGGGAGGATGGGAGATGAGTAACCAGGGACTTTTATATGTGATTATAACCTTTTCAAACTATTTTGGTGGCATAACGGGTGGGGTTATGCCACCCGTGGGGTTATGCCAAACCTAAAAAGTGACCTTTTTAGGTTTTAGGCAGATTACATGCTGTTTCTTGTGAAACAACAGCCGCTGCTTTACCCTTTTAATCCCCATCAAATCATTTTCTGGGAATCACACAATGGGCAACGAGATATGTAATTTGCAAGCTAAAACGTATTTCAAATTTACAAAGAATATATCAGTGCAGTATTTAGCAAAGTAATATTGTGATACATAACTTCACAATACATTTCGTAGGCCTCTGTAACTACTGTGACAATCAGTGACTGGCTACTGCCCTTCAATGGGAGAAATGGGTCTGTGCCAAAAACGCGTAGAGTAAATGCATACTGCTTGTCGTTATTTAATACATTATTAGAAAATAAAACAAGCAGAACACAGACCTGCCGCTCCACCTTACAGACTCGACCCAACATGCTCATGTCCTCTAAAATATCTCCATCAGACAGCAGCTTTTCTCGAATCTTCTTATCCAAAGGTATCTGGCCTCTCCCGAGGATCTGGTCCACTCTGGAATACACACACACACACACACACACACACACACAAGCACATGCAAACACAATAAGACATTAATGATGGAAAGAAAAAAAGTGACAAAGTAGAAATCCACAAGGCAGCCCACAGCAATGAAGAAAGGTTGAAACTGCAACAGAAAGAGATTATCATAAGCATATTTTCTTTTTCAACAAAAAGTTAGAGGTTAGACTTCCTCACTGGATGAGAAAACATTACCAGACATGTAAGGATGGTGTGTTACTAAATGTGTTTCTTATTTATCAAATAGTCAGAGGTTTTCTTTATCCGTTTCTGAATATAATATTTTATTCATGACAGCACATATTCAGTTCCTTTGTCTATAGAAAGACTATTCCTGCTCAATCCAGTGAGGTTCAGCAGAATATGGTTAATAAAGTCCCTTTGTTAATGAACAAAGTAGGGATAGCCCAAGGCAATGTCATGCAGCTATAATGCCACCAACATTTTGATAAGATCTTCCAACCCTTCCAACCAGACTTGCATCTATAAGTGTGTCTTTCTTGAATGTGTGAATTTATACTTTTTTGAACATGTGTTAGGCTGGCACGCAGCGGCCGGACTTCACAAGCAGGAGGACGGACACAGAGAGTACGTGTAAACCAACCAGGTGTTTATTTCACTGACAAAAACAAACAAATACATGGCATAACTCTTTCAGGGACCACGGGCAGCATGTGGTCCTGGCAGCGACAGCACTAGATGTAATTATGGCAGCCTTATATAGTCTGCCACTAACGAGGACCTCCACATCACTGTAAGATAGGTGACGCTGCCCCTTACTCTACAACACATACATTAAAATAGAGGCCTAACATTCTCAGGTCAATTATCTATATGATCTCTATTGTGGTAAGACATCACGATAGCGATCATATTCGGCGCAAATAGAGGATTCAATTTGCCTACAACCCCTCTAGTAATTACCACATGGTACCTTCCCGGAACTATAAAATGGTGCTCTTGTACCCTGGGGACTCTTTTAGGACGAACACCCTGGAGAGGAGACACAGCAGAGGTGAGTGCGTTGAACATGCAGGTTATTTTGACAGCACTATTAATATATTCAATCATTTTATTTAAAGATAACTAAACCACTAATATGTTTGTGTCTACAGGCCCGACCTTCAATAATTACTCCTGAGACCATATCAGAACTGTATAATAAACATTCAACTCTCAGTGTGTGAGTCTCTTATTGTCTCAAACAGTCCACAAATGCCTGCAATGGAGAGGGTCTTTGTCACAACGTGTTTTTGCCACTTGATGTGGTCATATCAGACAAAAGAAAAGTCTAAAATGCGTTTTAATCGAGCACATAATCATAAAAGCATAGAAATCATGCTTTTTGTGATAAGCCAATCACATACTAATGTACTGCATACTCAATCGATATGTACTGCATTTAATATTTCCCTGTATTATCATAAGGAAAATTAAAATTATTCAATATTGTAGTATTAAATATGTTTTCTACAGTATATTATATATTACTACATACTTAGTGTGTGTATATATATATATAAATAGATAAATTTGATATTGAGTATGCAGTACATTAGTATGTGATTGGCTTA